TTTCTTTAGTCAGACATTCCGCGTTTCGCTTTAAATCCTCCTGAAAAAGCTGTAAAGCGAATAGTTGAGTGTCCAATTAAAGACAAATTTCGTGTTATAAGGTCGTTTATTACTAGTGTTATGATTTAATAAACTGCTCGTCTACAATAACACCCTCCAGTAAAACGTGATAAATGTATTGTTCAATACGTCTGACAACATGTACTGTTGATATTAATGCAAATGTCATTGCAACTAGTGAAGCTGAGGAAGAATGGTGCCTAAATAAATAAGAGAGTCTGATGGTTGTTAATCTGAATCACACATTGAATCGCCAAACCTCGGTGGCTGAGCCTGACAGACTGTGAATATGTGGAATATGTCGCACATTGAAGTCTTGGGTGCTTTACAAAGATGACGGCGAAATCCCATTATTCGCTCAAAGAAAAGTAGCCAAAGAGTTAGCATTTGGCGCTGTCGTCTAAATGTCTTTCTTCCAGTTAATCAGTTCAAAATTAGGGACGTCAAGCACAGATAACCCTTGAGTAGCTTTGCGTGAATGTTTAAAAAAGATAAACATAAAATACAAAGTTCGGCTTATCCACTAATCATAACGGTAAGATTATCCCGCTTTTGAACATCAGTAAGTGACATATCTACATCAAATGTCCTTATGATAAAGTCTGGAATTATATCATGAGAATAAGCCAATATTTTGTTGCTTTACAATTTATCATTTCTTCAAATGTGTATCTCAAATTCCACCAGAATGAGTCTAATACATACAGACATTTTTTTTAGCGGGAACTCTTAAAAGTTAACTTATAACATATCATCCCTTTATACACCACACAAAATCAGTGAATAATAATTATATCCTGTGATATTAATCCATTAGAAGGTGAAACCTCGGTTGTAAAATAATGCCGATTACCCCCTCATTTCGATTTATGCAACACGCACCCAACGATGCATTGTTAAATTTAGTAGTGAGGGGTCACCATGATCTTTCTTACCCCACATCCCTCCGACAGAACAGCTTATTATCAAACTGACTCTTTGATATGCTTATAAAATAGCAGTATACGCAAGGTCAGAGAACCTTCAGCTAATGACAAAATTTTCATTTCAGATAAAGCGTTCCATATTAGAGATATGATTACAATCCCATAATTCCACTTTTGAACGTATTAGAAAGCTACATGATAAATCATTTGTATCTGAAATGTTTTAAGCTATATATTTTATGCTCTAATTTATATATTAGTTAGAGGTTGCATGACGTATAGATCTAAAAGTTTAATAAAGTAGGCTTCGAAAGTTCTAAGAATTTTGATGTCGAATTTTTCTCGTAAATTAATGGAGCTTTGTCTCTTTTTATCACTATATTTCATAATTATTATCCACCTTATATTTCAGTTAGTGAGTTAGTTTTAATGTATACTGTTATAGACTGTCTTGTTTACATTACAAATACAAATTACTTTTTATTCGGTGTTTTATTCCATGCTTACAGTCGGCTAAATGCGTATTTGTAATAAAAGTTGGAGTTATATTTTCACTTTAGAATAAAAATTCGTTTTTTTTCGCATCAAGTGGTTATCTTGGTAAAAGCTGTGAATAATGTCCTTACAACACCCATCAGAAACACACATGATGCACTATCAAAAAAGACCGACTAAATATTACCTCGTGATATAATTCCAGCATTTTCCTACCATTTATAATCGACATCTTTGATATCATACAAATTCACACAGTAAAAAGTTTTATAGAATGACGAACGCTGTTATATCTTTAACCCTGGAATTCAAGGAACAATTATTCTGACTAATTTAAATAATCACAAATATTATTTTCTGGTGTGCAATGTGTGATCAAATGGATAACCGTATTTTTTGGATCTATCATAGAAATACGTTTCAAACAGAAAATTACTGACATGTTGTTCTTTATTAAGTGTATCATATCATCTTCGGTACCATCACCACATACATGGAGCGAAACGTTTTAGACCATATCTTAACAACGGTAATAATGACGAACCACTATCATGGCATTTCTACCTCGACGACCATGGTCTTTCACAACAATGGCAATATTGACGAACCACTATCATGGCATTTCTACCTCGACGACCATGGTCTTTCACAACAATGGTAATAATGACGAACCACTATCATGGCATTTCTACCTCGACGACCATGGTCTTTCACAACAATGGCATTAATGACGAACCACTATCATGGCATTTCTACCTCGACGACCATGATCTTTCACAACAATGTTAATAATGACGAACCACTATCATGGCATTTCTACCTCGACGACCATGGTCTTTCCCATTTTAGACTTGTTGTTTCAAGCACGAACTGACTGTCCCTCTCCCAAGTACAGGCATGTACTCACAAAAAAAACGCATGGTTTATCTTCCTCTTAATTTGTCCTTGTAAATTCTTCAAAAACAAAAACATTGGCTTTGTTTTCTTTTAAATATTTGTTTCTGTCCCGTCCACCTCCTTTCATTTTGGGGGCGCAGGTTGGCCTTGTTGTAAAGCTTTGGATGATAGTTGGTAGAATGATGCTGACTGGTTTGACTTTTCTCTGGTCAGTAGTTCAAAATTAGGGTTGATGGCAGATAGCCTTAGTAACTTTACCATAGATGCAAAATACAAATACCTTGTATTATTACTATTTTTGAACTTATTGCATTCTTTCAGTTTTTTTACATTCAGTCACTGCTTTAACATTTCTTTGATATATATATATTATTTTAATCCCATATCTTAATGTTTTTGTCTATCTCACTAAGAACTTATAATTATTTGTATTGAAGGGTTTATCAACTAATAATTTACCTCTTATTTTTATTCTAAAGTTTTTCACGGGTTTGAGCTTAAGTATTTTCGATGAAGGTTATATTATTAAGGTTCCTCGCTTTTTGTATTAAAAATCGGCCATTTTGCTTTAACCATGTTCTTAAAATCAAACTATTTATCTCGTTTAGAACTTATTTTCATTAATTTGGTCTAGGTCTGACTTTCTTTGATTTTGTCTAATTTAATTTATATTTTTCGTATCGTTTTGTTCCTACTCCACGTAATTTGATATGTACCATAGATAGCTTTTTATATTTTATTGTTGTATTTTATGTAATTTATTCAACATATCTTGCCACTGTTGCTACGAGATGACTAGTACAGACCCAAAGTGTAATCACACTAAAAGAAAAACCATTTACCAAAGAGGCCATTTACGAAACAAATAAGCATATGTGACCAAAGAGGGCCGTCAGAGAGTTTGTTTTTGTTTTTGAAGTTAAGTACAAAGCTACACAATGGGCTATCTGTGCTCAGCCCACCACGGGTATCGAAACCCGGTTTCTAGCGTTGCAAGTCCGCAGACATACCGCTGTGTCACTGGGGTGCCAGTCAGAAAGAAATTATATATATAAACAGGAAAGGTCATACTCTCCATGGAGAAATCAGGCACAGAACAGTAACCCCATTTGATCAAATAGAACATTTGTGTACATTTTTCATTCTCCTGCTAAAATTAGATGCAAATAATAACATTTTCTCCATCTATTTTTTCTTATGCTAGCGACAACCAAACATTTTCCAATTTATTTTCATGATATTAGTGAAAATTTATAACGTTTTCCTTATCTGCTAATCTTCGTAACACGTCCTAGCACGTTTTCTTTTATTCTTTTGATGTTGGTACTTCGTCTTAAAATCCTCCCCATTGGTTTTGTTGATAATAGCGAATAATTTTAGCGTTTTCCATTTCTATTCTGCTAACCTTCGTAACCACATCATATCATGTTTTCCTTTATTCTATTAATGTTAGTAAATCTTCTTAAAATCTTTCCCGTTGATTTTGATGATAATAGTGATAAATTCTAACTTTCTTTTTCATGTCTTCTTTCCCATAAATCTAGCAATTTTATCGTTAAAATTGCATTCAATGAAACTTTTTATTTACTTAAAATTACGTAAACATTTTCCGCTAGAAAGTAACGTTAAAGCTTTTTTGAGGAGTGGGGGAAATTTATTTTGAGACTAAATATTAAATATTGTTTATAGAAAATGTTTTTTTTTACAAGTAAGAGTGCATGTGTGTGATGACTGGGAAAATATGCGGAAACTAAAAACCTAATATTTTTACATACATAGACTTTTAAACTAAAATAAAACTTTGAATCTTTTCACGTTTCTAGTTAAATTTATCACTTGGATTTTCTCCACCTCTAGGTGGTATGATTAGGATACGAACTTTGTTACTTAACGTAAGCCTTTCAGTTAATCACAGTTTTATTATATACCGTGTTGTCATCACTTGCAAAACTTATGTTGAAGATGAATGCTTACGTATTACATTAAATTCAAACTAATTCTTTAAACAGCATTACGAACAATATATGAAAACATTTTAAGTTGCATTGTTACATTCAGTTTAAGTATTAACCAAATAGCAATCCCATTGCATCGTGGAAAATGCAAGATTTGAACACTCACACAATTAACAGTTATTTTTTTGTTTTTCTAATTGTGGCAAATTGTTTATAATTGTCAAAATCCAAGTATTATAAGAATAAAAATCATTGGTGCCCTATCTATACACATATATGTGTAATAAAATCAACAAAATATGTTTATTTCTTTATTAATTTTAATTTTAAACGGCTTCACAGTTCATACAAAACCTTGATACAAATATGCGAAACTTTAATCTGCCCTTCTACTAGTGTCCAATTAGTTCCATTTTAATTGCAACTAAAAATATACATACAGATGAAAGATAAGGGCTTGCACCAATAAAGAAATAAAATCATTGGAGTGAAAATACTTACTTAATTTTACGTAAGAAAATAACTTTTTTTTTTCATTATAAGAGCTAAAATGCTTGGATACAAATTACAATTGAAAAGTAATACATGGGAGGACTTATAGATTCATATAAGCTCCAAGGCAAAAGAAAAAAATTAACATTAACCTAGACATTTTTTCATATGATAAACAGATGCCAAACTTTAGAATATTCCAACAGATTTATCTTTTTCGAAGTACATTTTGTTCACTAAAATATGACTCTTATGTTATTCTTAGCCACATTGTTATGCGTGTATTTAATGATCGATTCCTATGAGTGCAATGTTGTACTTCACATATGTCTAGTGTTGCCGAAGTTGAGGCCACTGGCGTTAGCTCCCTTGTTTGTGCCATACTGAAGGTTGATCATTCCTTCACTGGCTCGGAGCTGTTCCTCGGTGAACTCGCGCTTGTTCTCTTCAGAAGGTTTAGGTCCTAAGCAGGGTCCGTTCCACTCAGGATGGGTGTAACACTGTTAAAAGTATGCAGCGTTACCAATCAACTACTTAACAAAAACGCCTGGAAATAGGAGCGTGTAGTGCCATTTACACATAGCATTTTAGATAGATATATGGAAAAATGCCTTTTGTTTGAGGGTCCTAATTTAATTGCTAAAATGTATGCATACAAATTACAATTGAAAGGCAATACATAAGAGGACTGATGGACTCTTATGAGTTCTATGGCAAAAATGAAAAAGAAACCTTACATTAACCTAGGATTTTTTTTTATATGATAAGATAGGTCATTGCTAAAATAGGCGCCACAAGAGAAATAAAAACCCAAAATCGTGTTGCTTAAAAAAAGGCTGAAACATTACAATTTTTGGAAGGTTGCTAAAAAATAAGAATAACAAATCAAATGGAAACCAATAAGGTGTTAATTCAACAATTAACTGTTAAATCAATAAGTATAAAGTAGATATAAATCAATGAATTTACTATTTAAAGAGTTAATTGACACTATAATTACATGGAGACAAAAAAATTGAAAGCCCAGAACTCATGAATCATAAAAGGAAGTTAAAAGCTCTGTAGTATAGAAAACATTGCACAAGACAAACGCAAATACCACGAAATAATTAAAAACCACTAAGCTTGCAGTTAAACAGGAGGCTTTAAAAAACTGAAGAGCGAGAAGCAACAAGAAACCATGGAATTTATTGCTAGGATAAGTGTCGTTAAACTGTGGTAAAACGAGAATTTGAATTTTATGATTCATTGAATTAACTTAATATAATTATAACACCCAGAAATATATTGCAAAGACAGATGCCATTAATCAATAAGAAACCCGCAAACTTACTGCGAAATCGAGGATTATAGAAATTATAAATCAGAAAACTGACCAATAATATAAGAACAATAAATCAATTTTAAACCAGTAAACCTACTGCCAAAAGAAGGGCACTGAAAAATTATAAGTCTGTAATCTGTCTCTAAGTCAAGGTCAGTGATTGAGGATCACCATACATTAAGAAGACAAAACTTACTGCTCTGCCGAGGGCCATAAGACACTGGGCAACCTGGGCAATATTCCTCTTCTCCCATAGGTCAACCGTTTGGAAGACGTCGATCTCAGGAACTCCCCATTTCTTGGCTGCATCCTGGAATCTGTTAATGTTCTCCATCATCTTGAACTGACCTCCAGAAGTATTGATCTTTTGAATGCATCCAGGCATCATTTTGTTCATCAGGCTAGATTTTTAAGAAAAAAGAATAAAACCAGGTGTAGTTATCAGAGTAAAGTTGTTGTTTTTTAAACAATATAGTGGATTTTTTTTAAGAAATAAACTTTCTTAATCATATCTATAGTCCACAATTTAAATATTTCAGTGTCATTTCATTTATAAATTATTAATTTTCTGTCTAACATTCTTCAGTTATCATTTTCCTTTTGTGTAGTTCGTTCTCAAGACAAATTCAGTACTAGGAATGGAGGGGGGACGGATAGAAACCTCGTTCCTTTTGATGCATAGTTATTGAATGAAAGGGTGGTGCGAGCAATCATATAGCTTTGTTCAGATACATTATGATTACCATATTCCCCCCTCTTACAACGCTAGAATCCGGTTTTCGATACCCGTGGTTGGCATAGCACAGACAGCCCATTGCGTAGCTTTTTGCTTAATTACAAACAAACAAAATTACCATATTTTGTAATAACATACAAGTCTAACTGTTAAATGCCTGATTATGAAAATATGCGTCTGTGAGTAGATTTCTGGAGTTTCCCCTTGTTGACTATTTATAACTCGAGTGCTGTCTATAATTAATTATTTACATTTACACCCGTTGAGTATTCTCCTGAAATAACTTGTCTTGACATTATTTTTCTTCATTCTAGAATTAAGCATTTAGATATATGTTGTTGTTTTTGTATTTGTTTTAGAACAAAGCTACACAATGAGCTCTCTACACTCTGTCCATCGCGGGATTCAAAATGCCCCATATATGTGTAAGGGGTGGAGGGCTTAGATATGTATGTGTGTCTTGAAAGTGTCAACTACTTCAGTCAACATATTTCAGTACCCTCGCGAAAGTACTTTAAATATATCTGCACTTCTGAATTTTGTCTTCTTAAAATAATAGTCGTGAATATACTCACTGTTTACTCCTCGTTATATAGATACTACTGTTATCGTTGTTTTTAATTCATAAAGCCCTTCGATCTAAAATACGTCGCTTATTATTCTATTTTTATAATAACACCTCATTTTCAAATACTTGAATTATATTTGCTTTCTTGAATTAGCCATGTTCGCTTTAGGAATATGTAATTTACTACTTTATTTCTTTATAAATATTTTTCGTACTAAAATATTTCAGCATGGCTAGGTGGTTAGAGCACTCGACTCGCAATCTGAGGGTCGCGGGTGCGAATCCCCGTCCCACCAAACATGCTCGCTCTTTCAGCCGTGGTGGCGTTATAATGTTCCGGTCAATCCCACTATTCGTTGGTAAAAGAGTAACCCAGTAGTTGGCGGTGGGTGATGATGATGACTAGCTGCCTTCCTTCTTGTCTTACACTGCTAAATTAGGGACGGCTACCGTAGAAAGCCCTCGTGTAGCTTTGCGCAAAATTCAAAACAAACAAACAAAATATTTCAGGTAATATTTTCCTTTCTTAAATATTCCTCCTTTGTCAAAAATAAATCAGGTACATTTTCATTCATAAATCAACATTGGAGTAGAAATTCTCAACTTGAACAGCTCCTCATGAGTTAGCGATCGAATAAGCTAAGAACTTTTTCAATTCCCTCCCCATTTTCCAGCCCCCTAACACTTATCTACATAATGATCACTGACGCACGAGACTGTAAAGAAATATCTCAATACATTTTCCAGAATGCCCCCAAATGAACCATACTTTCTTCAGCTTTACGTTTGTATCTTTCAAACACATCGATAAAGTTGTCAATTCTGATCATAATCTTAAATCTAACATTTATCAGTTATCATTGTATTTTTCAGAAGTTTATAATCTTCCTGGATTATTTACTAAGAACGTTGTCTCTGTTTTACATGAATATGCTACTACATCACTTTGTTCAATCTAAAATACTTTAACTATCGTTACATTACTAGACTATATATTGATGTCATGTCCTTCAAGGTGTTTATTCCTTTTTGCATATACACGCGCACGCGTAATTTCCATTTCGGAATAACTTCGGGTAATTTTAAGACATTTAAAAATAACGTACCAACCAAAAAAATGCAATTAGAATTGAATGATTTAATTGGATAACTAAACGGTTAACAACAGGTGCACACTTCTTTATTTCTTTTTTATATAAGGGACCGATCATAACCTGGTGGTTAGCGTGCCCGGACTATGAATCCGAGAATTCACTGTTTGTGTCCCGCTGTTGCAAAAGCACGCTTCGCACTTTGGAGTCGTGTGTGTGCTGAAATAATGTTAAATTCCACTATTCAGTTAGTTAAGTGTATCACAAGAATTCTTAGTGACTGTTGTAACTGCTTTCCCCTAGTCTTTCAATTCAAAATTATTGAGGGCTATGCCCAGATAGCCCATATGTAGCTTTGCACGAAAATTCCACAACAGTATGTAAGACTCTTACTTGCAGAGTATAACTCCATCCTTCAGAACGTCATCAAAATTGCCAGGAGGGAGTTTTTCACCTAGGATGGCTTCTATCCATTTTAGTATGTCCGCCTCGAGCGCTTGATCACGTTTTCCGGCCATCTATTCATCAGAATAAGAATGTAATATCATCTTTTCTCCGACGCAATTATCAAGATCTAACAATTATATCCGTATAAAATTGTATAGACAATTTCTGAATTATTATTTCTAAGAAAAAAACTAGCATAAATATTCAAGATAATTCAAATGAATATACATTTAATTATATATTTGAGAAATAATTATATCCACACAAATAGAACGAAATAATTAAATGCAATATCATCTAAAGTGTCCAAAAACATCTGAGCATGATGTTGCTCAAATAATGCATGCTATTTTATCATTTAAACTACAGCGGAATTTATTCTTGAACACAAAGATCGGTTCATTTTCAAAATAATCACTCTGTTAATAAACGTTTATACGCCACAGTACTGAAGCGCTGTGATTATAATTTATTAAGTATATATTTTATTTATAAAAAAATACCTTTTATCACTGAAGTATTTTTTATTACATTCTTGATTCGATTACTAGAACGTTGTTATCTTGTTTTTGATATTTTTTATAGAAAGTTTTGGGGCTATGGTTCCTACTTGTCTTAAAACAGTCTGATGTGCTCTTAGAAAGGATATTTTTATCCAACCAGCTGTCATTATCCGTCAAACACAAGAGAGGAAACAGCTGAGATAAGGTGGCAAATGGGTTTACATCCGGGTACTGCGTATGTTGAAGGAATTTTGGATGGGTGTCAAAAATTGTTGACTTCCTTCAATGCAACTCAATCCTCTGATAGTTTCGTAATGCCGAAAAGTCATTTTCAAAGGCGTTCTAATGTGAAACCAGTACGTCACGTTTAAAATATTTTAACTTAAGAATAGTTTAATTGTGTACACCAGCCCCTCAAATATTTAATAAAGTGTTCCTCACATTATCATAACATGTGAGCAATATAAAACAAACAACAAAATCAGTAATAAGTAAATATAAACACATAAATAAGAAACTTCACGTTTTCATAACTGTTTAGAAAATAAGGCATACAACAGCCGATTGAATGAAAACCAGTCATGGACTAGAAAGAACAAATGGAAATAAAATAAAAAAATGTATATATCTGGGCATTATTGCAACAACAGAGAAAATTACTGACGAATCCCTATTTAAACAATACCATGTTAATAAAAATAACAATTAAATTAATAAGGTATTTTGGAGTTTCCGAAAAGGAAAGTTATTATTGATCTTATTCTAATACTTTTGGTAAAGTTTGTTTGTTATTTTTAATAAAGAAAATTACGAAGTAAAATCACAAAACAATTTTTTCTTTAATACATATTGTGGGGAAGTTTGGAAAATTAATCAGCAAAACTCATTCAAAATATTGGATACTGGTTCTTCAACTTAATGTTTCTCAACACACTGGACAAACGTTTAATATTTTCCAGGCTATATATATATATATATATATATATTATCCTGCACAGTCATAAAGTACTATTTTGGCAAAACTGAGTATAATTGTAGATAAAAATAATCAATCGAAACCAAGCCCTAAAGTAAATATGAGGTTAATTTCGATAGAATTTTAAGGCATCTATAACCTAAACTTACTTTGTTTGCCACTTGGGCAGACAGACCATAAGCAGGACCACGGCCTGACATGTCAAATGTGTGTGGATAATTAACGTTCTACAGGACACGGATAGGAAAGAACTATGTGAAGATAGCGGACTGACTGCAATGCTCACCAAGACAACACTAAGGAAGCTACGTTGAGAGCAGGTAATGTAGTTCAGTCGAGAAACCCTACTTTCCAAAAATACCACTGGCACTCTACTGGCTCTTACTAATCTTATGAAAATGGGACCGCAATTTTGGGAATATTACGTCATTATCGCTTCCAAAACAGGACTGAAAAGATTCTCAGTAAGCTTCGTGAAGGTTCAGTTTACAGTTGGGTACGTAATCATTAAAACGCCCACATTTCCACCTCCTTCCTTCTTTAGAAATAAATAGCTAGTATATGAAATTTTCCAAATGTGGCTTTCATTTACCAGCCTTAGCATTATTCCATATATATATATATATATATGACTCGTGCAAATCTTTTCATCAAAATTTCATACTTAAAAGAATAAGTCTATGCCTTTCAGGACAAAACAATTAAGCAAACAATATGTCATTTTCTAAGAGCTAAATTTATATTCCCAAACACCATTAGTCAACAAAATAATTCTTTAAATGACAAAATTAATTGTCAGGTGACTGTATTGGAAATGTTTTGAAAGGAAATTGAGAGGCACATTCGAAAAAAAATGTTCGGACATATTCAGATTTATCACTGAGTATTTAATATTATAGTTTGACTGAATAAATCTCATATTGCTAAAACAAATTAGCCACAGATTTTGAAGAAACAAAATATTGGCATCGTGTCTGTGAAATGTGGCATATCGCCGTAGTTCTCATCGAGCGTACAAGTGACAATCTGTTAACGAGCCATTTCTTAGTCGAATGTTTTCAATGTTCTTTAATACTTAAAAGACACACTGTATTGTTCTTACTGAGCTTATCTGATGTAAAGCAGCTTTAACTTGCAAGTCTTTTTTAGGTTCACTCTTGAAGTTCATAAATAAACACTACATATCTACAACAAACGGTTTTTTGAAGAGTGTTTAGATTAGAATTACTCTACTATTTTAAGTATTCTTCATAAAAACCTTTTGTTTTGTTATGTTGTTCCTGAAGAAGTTGTAAGGCGAAATATTGAGCATTCAGCAATTCTTTCTCTGGAGAGAAAAAAGTAGTTTTTTTATTCACTATGTTAAACATGCCAAGTAAGAAACTTTAGGTGGAATTTTATAAAATTAACATTAGGCGTGCTAGGATTTTACAGTTAATTAAGACCTACGAAAATAAATGCAAAAATATAATGATTATTACAATTACTATATGAAGCACAGTAAGAAAATCTTATAGAGTATTTTAACGTGAGTAGAGCTCCTGAAGAAGGCTTACAGCCAATCCATCGAACCAATCATTATGTGTAGAGTTCCTGAAGAAGGATTACAGCCAATCCATCGAACCAATCACTGTGTGTAGAATTCCTGAAGAAGGATTATAGCAGTCGAACCTGTCACTGTGAGAAGAGATCCTGAAGAACGTTTCCAATCCAAACGTCGAACCAGTAAAAAAGTGTATAGACATATGTACCTTTGTATGTGTAATCACAGTATGTTTTCTTTATCTAAAACAATTTACAATATATATATACGAGTCAGCACTGTGTATTTAACAAAAATTAAAATTATTCGTCACATCAACTAAATTTGTTAAAACGCTGTTATTCTGTCTTTTGCTGGCAGTGAATTGTTTCTGAAACGGGATAATAAAGGAAATGCTAGGAAATAAACATCATCCCAGTATGTAACATGTCAGTTTATAAACAAGGTTGAATACCTTTAAATGAGTGACACCATAATTTTAAATATATATATATATATACAATGTCTAATCTCATAATTAGCACTGCGTTCTTTACTTATCGCTTTAAAACCCAAAGCTAGAAGTAATACAGTAACTTCCCCATATTTGACTTCTCTTTTTGCACTATGAATTGAGATCCTTTTAGTTGTAATATTTTCAAAGAAATGGTAATTCCTCTGTATTAACTAATACGGGAAGTGAGGGTTCAGATTTTGCTCTCAAAAAAGTTCATAGTGTCAACTGTACCAAGCTTTGAGCAAGACCTCAAGCTTAAAATAGAAACCTTCTAAACTTCTCATTCCTTGATAAGACGCTGAAAGCCTTAAAACTCTCAGATATAAAAAATATGGATTATTCAAAACAAAAAAAAACTAATCTATTTTTACGTTCTACAATTTCTGTTTCTGAAAATACTCACACACAAAACTTTTCGTTGAATAATAGAAGAACTTACTCATAATGTGTTAGATATGATACCTAGTTAGTTACAGAACACTTAAGGCTTTTTGTTCCAGAACAAGAACCACTCAACCAGAAACTCTCATATTCAGCTTTGACGTCATTTAATGTATTCTTCCAAATCCATTAAAGAAGTTGTCGACCTGTTACTAATCTACTGACGCAAATGTACAGCAAATTAAGCATTCTTTGGCTGTCAGTGATCTTGGTTCAGCAGTCTAAGTATATTTCTAACAAAAAATTCAATACTTGCCATGTGTAACAGAATTAATCATCATTAGAATTGTCTTTATAGACATCTTGATATACAAGTCATTACATTATTACTATGGTGACACTATCTTACACCAGGGGGCTTATATAGGTGTATTGGTCATGTATTTAATATTTCGAATTTTGGTAATGAAAACGTATTTAAATTTTTCGTGTAACTGAACACAGTAGTCTGAAAATTCAATCCACTTTAAAAGTGCCCTAAATCGACCCAACTCAACTTTTTTTAGAATTTTATTAGCTTTAAGAAACGACCGGATTCGTAATTTTTTAGACTGAAAAATAATTATTCTATATTACATTAAGATTCTCCTTCCACGGTAAAAAAAAAAAAAGAAGGGTCGGTGCAAGAGAGAGATGAACAGAAATGAGATAGTTCGCTTTAATCTGGTTAAAGAAAACATTAAGTTAAAAAATAGGACATTCTTTGCTAAACAAAAACCATCCACACATGTTACGTGTATATGAATAATAGTGAAACGGACTTATAAGCAGCAAAATAAACTTATAAAAACTCTTTAACTTAGTAAAAACAGAGATGATTTTAAATGCTAATGAAATCTTTCTACTTGCGTTACGCCAGTGAACTAACTAAACAAATACTATAGACTATGAAGTAATCCAGGCTTACTGTTACAATTGTAAATAAACGACATCCATCACAAAAGAAATCTATCACAAGACTTGTATATCAAATGAACACTCAGTGTACCAAAATAAAGATTAATTTAAAATTCGTGGGTTTGTGGTGTAAAGTCATATATTCATACACGACTGAAAATGTTGCTTGTATTATCAATACTTCAATATCAAACTGTTTTAGTTGATGTGACAAAAACAGGCTTACAACCGAACGTTGAGTCTCTAATAAAATCTAAATCAATTTACTAATGTGTTTTTGTTGATATGAATTGTTATTACTAAAAGGAACAGTTCTTGTCTTTCATCCAACAAACACAAAAGAAAGCAAAAAAAAAGAAACTGTCAAACCCAACACATCCTATACTCTGTTCCAACCAATTAATTAGCAAAAACTGTGTACCAATCACTATTAGATTATCAAATCTGGACCACCACAGTAAACATTGTAGAACTGTTAAAAGGAACAATAAAAATAAGAATAAAACATTTGCATTGTCAAAATCAACAGTATTATGAACTTTATACCGTTGTACCAACCAAACCGAAAACAACAGATATGTCAAAAGGGAAAAAATGCCCCTATCAGTGAACCATATAAAAGCATTTTTCACAAAGAAAAATGCTTTTTTATAGCATACTGTATTTCCCAGATGTCAAAACGCAGGAGTTCTTTTGTAAATCACATATTTTACGTGTTAGTACTTTAACATTTATCCTTCATACTATATTTGTATAAGTACGCATTTGTTTTCCGAGTATTTGAAAGCTGCAGACAATTTTTTACGATAGTTTCAGCTTGACGAATTAAACTATTTAGAACAGGTTTCGTAAAAACTTGGCGATGTTTGGAGAAGCACACTCACAGAAATATGCAACACACTTCTGCATACATTACCTAACAAACAGGGTCACCTTTGAACAAATTTCATGTCGCATTCACACCTTCTTTATTCCTCGACAAGTCTAGCTGACTCAACAGCAGTTGAAAGCCAATGAGGTTCTAAAAATAAAATATTTCTGACACATGGAAAATAAACTTTTTTGTTAACCTCTTATGGGGGTTTGATTCTATTTCCGTCCCTGCGGGGTGAAAACATTTAAAAACTGGGGTAAGAGTCAAAAGGATGAAGTTTAATGAGCAATATTTTCAAGCGAATGAAACGTGGGTTTCTTTGTTTGTTTGTTGTTAAAGACACAACTACAAAATGGGCTATTTTTTGTGCCCACAGTAGGTATAAAAACGCAGTTTTTATCATTGTAATCCTTCAAACTAACCTCTGTTTCGTAAGCATTTAGATATATTCGATATTAAGCGTTTGGAACCTAAGGATTGTGAGATCATCTATTAATGGAATTGTATCCGAATTTCCTTCATAATTTTGTAATCAAATCTTTGTTGCCAAATAATCGCTCACATAAGTTACGTTTAAATTTATTTTCTTCTATTTTTTTCTTTTCTTTTTTTTTCTTCTCTACACATTTTTTCTTACCCAAACTATGTAAATAAACAGTGAGGTTTTCTTCAATGATCTGCTATTTTTTCGGGTCAGAGTAGTTTTAGCTTATATTTTTTATTAAAACACTGTGCTCTTTCTTGATGACGTTTGTAACAACCATTATCTGAAGTGGAGAAAGAACTACAGTTATGCAAACCTAGTAATTTATTTTGTCTTTTCAGTTTATAGTTGACTAACATATTTCTAATCTTGCTCGTCATTATCCTCCTATTGAATGCGCCTAAACGTTTTATCTCGGAACTTTACTATTAATTATCAAAAAATCAATTTAAACTTAACTTCTATATTGACCATTTTTGGCAAATGAGAAAACTTAAAGTTGTTAATTACTATGGATGTACTGATTGGAAAGTTGGTTGAATGTATATTTTTTCTACTATCACGTCATTGTCTTTGAGATGACTCACAATGCAGCCAGAGAGATGATAACTTACTCATTC